AGTAAGCACCAGCTTTGGTTGGCACTGTCTTTGGTGCAAGGCAGTGTTGCAAGTTTCTGACCAGACAGCACTTGCCATTCTTGGCTGAAGATGCTGAGAGATGGAGTCCTGCAGTGAGACAGTGACTCACTCCAGCCTCTGACAGCTGGAGAATGGGCTTTGGACTTCCATGTTCAGGCATCAGTTTCCTGGGTTTCTGACAGGGGCCATAAATCTGTCTGGGGATTCCAAGAATCCCAAGATAAGAGGTAGCATTTTGTCTTTAAGTGCTACCAGTGTAAAGGTGAGTGGCATTGTGCCTTGTGTGCAGTCCTCCTGTCCCCAGAGGAGAGAGTGTTCCAAAGACAAAGCTCTCGGCCTTGCAGGATATGTAGGTGGCACTGTGCCCTCAAGGGACCCTCCCCTCTGCACAGGCTGTCTAAGTAGCTAAATGAACAGGTCATATATACCCGGGTATAGAGCTGGATATAAATAAGGTATAAATGAATTTACTCCTGATCCCTCAAGCTATTTTATGTCTGCAGAGTGCAAAACCAGCATTAGAAGTTGTGCGGTCTCCCTCGGTTCCTGGAGAAGAGGCCAAAGAGGAGGAAAATTCCAACAACCCTCCGTCTGTTGCTGCATCACCACAGCCTGGACAACCTGAATCAGTAAGCACCAGCTTTGGTTGGCACTGTCTTTGGTGCAAGGCAGAGTTGCAAGTTTCTGACCAGACAGCACTTGCTGTTCGTGGCACGTAGGTGTCACTGTGTCCTGGAGGGACCTGCCCCTCTCCACAGACTAATTAGCAGCAGGCACAATTAGACTCCGTGCTTAACTTTGCTATGACCCAGGTTTGGTGGGCAGAATCCTACACTGCTCTGCAGTGTAGAGAGAAGGTCGGTCTGAGAAGGGGTGGAACATAGTTCCAAATGGCTGCTCCCTAAAGCTTGAAATACTGAGGTGAACTCAGCTGAACAGACCAGAAAAGGGAAATGCTTCCTGATTCTATTCAGGCATCCCTTCAGGAGGGGAGGAGAGACACAATTCCTCAACTGATCCGGGGCAAACGGAGATGTTTTCCTCCAGAGATGGCAGTTTTTTCCCCCCATAGGTGTTTTCCTCCTCTAGCCTTTTCCACCCCTAAAGCCCCCTTTTTATACCCTAAATTTTGGGCCATCCTAAGAGGTGGAACAATCACCCACTCTAGGTGGGGTTTGGTGACTTTTCTTATACATGCATTACACAACATGTCTTCCTTCATTTGCATCCTGAGGGTGAGTAAGCCAATAAGTTAATGGGGCTCAGTGAGGGTGGGCAATTGAGAAAAGCCACACATCTCCTGTTAGCTGCCTAAGAGTTTGTTGGAGATTCAGTTACAGACGGACCGTGTTTGTACTGCCCATCTCACTTAGGAATCTGTGCCTCTCCATAGGCAGATAATGACCCAGGAGAGCAGCAGCACAGTGCTTTGGGAATGCATGAGCACATCAGACTTTGAGTCTTGTCATACAAATGTTGTATGGGAAGTTTAAACCTGCTTCTCTTCGTTTTTGTGCAGGTCCTGCCAGAAGAAGACCATGGGAAGATTGCTTTGTTAGACATGCAGACTCAGGGAGAGCTGTTTCAAACCCAACAGCAGCTAGAGCAGCAAGAGGAAGAGCAGAGAGAGAATGGGCAGGTAAACCTGACTAGCTAGGTAACAGTGAAGGGCAATAACAAGATCATAAAACATAGGTCTTGGGCCTGAGGAAGTAAGAGCTACCATGGGCATTGAAAGCACAGAGCCTTGTAATCTCCAGTGATCAGCACAAGGAAGGGAGGGTTACAATGGAAGCAGAGCTGCATGGAGAAACAGAGAGAAGTGGCTGAATTAATGTAATTTTGAGACTGAAATAGGAAAAACTTGAGCCTGATGGCAGGTCCCAGTAACCTTCTCTCCATTTTTGTTTACAGAACATCAAGACAAAACCGCAAGCACAGCTGCCTGAAGCTCAGAGGAAGACCAAGGCAGCTGAGGAGAGACATGAGGAAGAAACAAAAAGCATCCAAGATGAAATGAATCTATTTCAGCAGAGCGGGGATCTGCAAAACGAGATGAGGGAAACAGTGGCAGGAACTCCAGTCAAGAGACTTTCTCTCCCCCTCTGCTTACAGAACAGCAGGGAAAAGCTGCAAGCAGAACTGCAGAGAGCTTGGAGTGAGATCAAGGCCATGGGAGAAAGGCACGAGGAAGAAATGAAAAATATCCAAGAGGATGTGAATCTCCTACTGCAGCAGAAGGAGACTTTACGAAAGCTGGTGAGTGAAACAACGGTAGCCACTCCAGTCACCAAAGAGGTGTCCTCCCACCTTCTTGCCTTTCCATTGCAGAGAAGCGGCTGATGGGGGTAATCACTCTGACTGCCTTCATGCTGTGGTCTCTCTCACAGCTGATCTGAAGGAGATTTACTGGTCCACTGATTCTTAGCTGTCACCCTGGACAGCTGGGCTCATCCTTTGGCCTTTTGTCCAGCAATAATCCCAATGGATTTCTGCTGGCCTGTTCCCACTAGCCTTGTTTTTTGAGGTGTTTCTTCAGGTGAACATGCTGACCCACCTATGGAACAAGTTGTCTGTATCCATTGGGAATCTGGTTGTCTCGTGTGCTTTCCCTTTCCTCACAGTTTATGGCTGACAGTGAGAAGCTGTAGTCTCTGACTGCTTTGTTCTGTTTGACTTGAGGTGGAAGAGTTGGCGTCTCATCTGGCAGCCCCCAAACTGTCCCAGCAAGTGATTGGCAACAGAGCTCAGCAAGGTCAGAGGAACGGACAGGAACGGCCAAGGGAGGAGGTGCTGGAGGTTGAGCACTTACAGAAGATGATGGAGGAAAAGAAGACTCAAGATGAGGAGGTAGAACATTAGAACAAGGAACTGCAAGTGTGTCTGCAGCGCTTGGAGGGGGAAAAGAATTCTTGGGAGGAAGTGGAGCAGTCATTGTTGCAGTCATCTTTTAGAAAAGCTGCTAAAATGGAATATGAAACTGTCCGTTAACTCATGTAGAACCAGCCTTTTGTTTTTTCCAATTCAGTTTGAGAAGTGGACATCAAAAAAAATCCAGTTTAAGAGTCCTGGATGTGGCCTACAGCATCTTCCTAAGGGCTATCATTTGAAATGTGATCTCAGGGCAATCTCTGCCAGCCACCTTTCTGACACAAACCAATTGCTTGTTCCAGATCTACAGAGGCGAACCTGCCAGCGAACCCGTGGCTGCAGCAGCCCCCTCTAAGGAAGCCTCCACTCCCCAGCCTGAAAACTTGACAACAAGCAGTTGGCTCAGCTCAGGCCAGGTGGAAGCTTTTCTGCAAGACATGGTAGAGGAGGCGTCCCTGAACATACTGAGTATGTCCTGTGTACTTCTTGTCTGATGGAGCAGTGTTTTGTGTGCAGGTCTCAGCATGAGCTGTGCCAAATGTTCCTCCTCAGTTTAGTGTCACAGGGGCATTTAGGACTCCCTACAGAAACTGTTGTGCTTTGAGTCAGTGAGAACACTCTGGGTGTTTCTACTGCTTCTGAGGGAAGGTTGGACTGGTTTGCATTTGGCTGAGCGTCCCTCTCTGCTAAAGGCAAAAGCAGGGAAATGTTCCCAGATGAGCAGAAGGCTGTGACCTAGTGAGTGACCTAGTGGAGTCCTGTGTGCTAGTGCCCAAATTGATCAGAATATTTGGCTTCCTAAATTCACAGAAGTTGATTGGATTTGAGTTTTGTGGGTTTGTGGGCTTTTTGGTTGGTTGGTTGGGGTTTTTTTTGTTTGGTTTGGGTTTGGATTTTTTTCGTGGAGTCGGGTTTTTATTGTCCTCCATCCTGAAGGAACTCTCCTGCGCCAGGTATCTTATTGATGTGGGTTTTATGATTGTTATTACTATCACTGTTACTTCTATAGTTTGTTTCTGTAAGAATGCTACATTTTTGTCAGTGAGAACTCCTTTGAAAGAACATCAGATGACAGCACAAATAGAGAGGAAGGGGCGTTTTCATATACCCCCAAAGGAAAAAAAAAGATACTTTTATAATCCCTATTTAATTTCTTAGTTTTATGCTTATAAGGATGTATCAAAGAGACACATCTATGTGGTGTGAAAACTGCACTGCAGGCATTCCCAGGAGCGAGCCTCCAGCCCAGCCACTATATATTCCTCAGATACATGGCATTCTGTCATGGCTGATTCCCAGCCAGTTAAGACTATTAGAATCCTCAGCATTGGCCCCAACCCCTGCACGGAACAGACTCTAGGAAAACACAGCAAGCCCTTTGTGATTCTGCAGGACAACCAATTCAAGCTGCCAGTGCTGTGTTCTCAGATAATCACTGGTTGAGTTCAGAACAGAGCCCAGCTTACTCTGTGTCTACCATCACCTATTGAGACAAAAAGTGGATTGATCTGCACCTCCTTGTGTCTGATCTCAAAGCCAGTAATGTTCTGTCTTGAATGGGGGCCACAGCTAGTAACAGGGCTCAATCTGGCTGTGGCTTCTTCATAGTGGATGTCAGGGCTCACTCAGGCTTTACTGACATTTGTCATATCTGCCCTGCCCCTGATGGCTGTTGTTCCAGCTCTCCTTAATATTTGTAGATGACAAACTTACTTGCCTTGGCACCTGTTCTCTTCTGATCTCTGCCTCCTCTGAACATATCTCTATGTGCTTAGTTTCCTGTCAAGGTAACTCTTCAAAGGACTGTATAAAATCAGTCTTTGTGCAGACCCTCTGTGCTGCGGAGCTGCCAGTCTTGTTATTGTTGTTGTTGTTACCCAGCTGCTCACAAAGGGCTCAGAGCTCCAGACAGTGGGGCTGCATTTCGGACCTCCTGAAAGGCAGTATCTCAGTTTTAAAGTGAGCAACTTGCATTTTGTTTCTTTCAGGGAGAATGGTGAGCGTGGGAGATCCTTTGCAGAAATACATTGAATTGGAAAACATTGGCAGTGGGTGAGTCCAACCACAGTTACTTCTACAAAACCATGGGCCAGGTATTTTGCTGGTGTAATATCTATCAAGCGTGAAGTCAGGCAAGCTGCAAACATGTTCAGATTGTCCCATCTCTAAGTACTAGTCAGAATTTAAACCTGTGGTCACGAGGCATTGTCAAAAGTCATCATGATGGTGGCAGTGTCTTGCCTGCAACAAGGAGCAGGCAAATGATCTCCTATCCCTCAAGTGTATGGCATCTCTTGACTTATTTTCTTAGCAGTAATCATTTTTGTATGTCTCAATACGGCAACGCTTACGAAAGAAGAAACTTTATTGCCTAAAAGAGCAACTTACCACCTGATAGCTGTCAGATAACAGTTCTCAGTAACATTTCTTTCCAATATTTTGCTGAAGGAAATATTTGGTGCTCAGGATTATAACCACATAGAAACTGAAACCAGAATAAGCTCTCTTATTTAGCCAAGGCAGTAAAACCCAAAGCTTCAATGAATAGACCTGGTGTTGATGCACTTGAGAGGAAAATCATCTGCCTGATGACAGATCCCTCGTGGATCCTGCAGCTTTTAGGCATTTACAGCAGAGATTTCCTGTCTGGGCTGGCTTTCACTCCAAGGCCTAAACTGCTTCTCCTTTCTTCTAGGGCTTTTGGAGCTGTTTGTAAAGCACTTGACACTGCTACTGGAGGACAGGTAAGTGTCAACACCCCTGCAGATTCTGCAGCTCTTGAATGCTTTCCCCTCTGGTGAGAGCTGTGGCTGGAGCTTTGGGTCACCAGTAGATCTTTACTGCAAAGGCAAGAGAAGTGCAGACTAGTGTCAGCCTGCAAAAGGCATTTGAGACAGACTTAGTCCTTTTCAGCTATCAGAAAGAATGGTATCTTTCAGAGAAGGACGCCCTAGCTTGGTCTTAATGGCTAAATATGCATCAAGGAGGTGATGGCGACTGCCATCATCCAGGCCCAATTTCTCTGAATCGTAGGTTCAGACACAGATAGGATTTAACTTTTTTCTTTCATCATGTCTTTCATCTCCAAAGCACAATGCAAGACCTAATGAAGGAGAGCTCATGCTTGGGGTTTTTATTTCAGTCCTAGAGAAGCTGGTTCACACACACACACACACACACACACACACAGACACACACAGAGATCACCGAGAAGACGTTTATTGAGAGCAACAGTTTCTCCTAAGCAGTACCACCCTGTTTAGGTCCATTGTCAGTGGCAGCCCATTACAGGGATCCTCATAATAAGATCAGACAAGGTGGTGTCTTAGACAGTCTCACTGCTCTTTGCAACTACAGCTTCAGATTCCTGAATTTTCGTTCCTGGCTGTCAGCAAATACATCTGAATCTTACTGACAGTTCCTTATCCACCTGCAGTGTTGCACCTTGGAACTGCACTTAGAGAGAGGTCTGCAAGGGGTCTTAAAAGCCCTGAGCCCTGCTTGTAGCCCAGGGCTTATCCATGGAGTACCAATGCATGTATTCTTTTTAAGCCCACACAACAATTGCAAATGTAAAGTGTGTTAAGGAATTTTCTTTAGAGTAGCAAAATCAAAATTCATGAAGTGTGGCAGTGCTAGAATTTTATTTTTGGGGGTAACATTAATGGTCTTTTTTAGATGGCATTTTACCCACAGCGTATGTGTTTCCTTTGTTGTGCAATCCAGAATAGCAGCAGTTGCTGAAATAATGATCAAACCGCACAGAGTTGCCAGAAGATTTCCAGCTACTTTGATATATTTTCACAGGAACAAATTCACTTCCTGCTTGCAAAACGTGTGAATGACAATAGTGTTGATAAACTAAGTCCATTTGAGAAGAATGTGTGTGCAGAGAGTGTGGTCAGAGCTTCGTGGTTGATAGCTGAGAGACCATTTTTACCAAGTCGACAAGGCAGAACATGGCCACATGTCCTCAACTGACACCCAAGCAGGTGGAGGAATAGGCATTGTAATGTCAGTTCCCAGTTACTGTGATGTCTAATCACAATGCAGTTTGACAGAGCTCGGCTGTGTCATTCCAAAATCACTCACTGCATGTTGGTTGTGGTCTCGTGCCACCAACTTCTTAAGTTTATGATTTTCAATGTCATTTTAGGTGGCCATAAAGAAAATCAGTCTTCAAGAAACCAGCAAGGAACTAACTCTTAATGAAATCGAGGTCATGAGGACAAATAGGAATTCCAACATTGTTAACTATTTGGACAGGTGACTGGTTCTGAATGTTTATTTACATACTGCAAGCATCCAAGGTTAAAAAAACGCTTTGGTTACTGGCAGAAAATTGAGCTGTTAATTATTAATTAATTATTATTTATCTACTCATCTCCAACAGATGGGAGGAGATTGCATTTTGTCTGCATTAATCATTTTTGGCACACATAGTTCAAGAAGTTGGATCAGCCTTTTCTCACTAAATCAATAGCTGCCTCCAACTGTTTTGCAGTTTTGGGTCTTTTTCAAGGGTCTTAAATGCTGATAAACCATCACAGAAATTATTTCCCTGGGGCTTTTCTCACTCTTTTCCGTTGCTGTGGGTGCCAGGAAGACTAGATGCTTGTCTCCAGAAATACATAGTGTAGCAGTTCTTTTATCTTGTTTGTTAATAAACTGCCTTTTATCCTTGCTGGCCATCTAAGACATCTCCTTTTTCACAGATGTGCTTTTCTGATTTAGACTGCACAGATTACAAGCACTGTACAGCCTAGGCAGAATGTCTATTCATTTTATTCTGTCTTCGTTTAAAAGGGACCTGGAAACAAAAATCAACTGTCACCTTTTCCGTAAGGCAGTTTAGCTGTGCACAGTCATCTCCATGCCCTTGTTGTGTTCTTTCAGCTACATTGTGGAGGAGGAACTCTGGCTGGTCATGGAGTACGTGGATGGAGGCACTTTATATGATGTTATCAGTGAGACATGCATGTCTGAAGGACAGATGGCAGCTGTCAGTCGGGAGGTAAGGGATCCTGCTTGGGCTTCCGATGGCTTGGACAGGACTGTCCTGCTAAACAGGTGGTAAGAACAGGAGTGATTTTTATGTTCAGAGCTTTGTTTCTGTGTTGCTGTTATGATGTGGAAGAGAAAGAGCAACTGAAGTGAACTGCCTGACAGTGTCCCTGCCCTCACTGTACTCTGTTCTTATAGTCTTACATGTTGTTGTGGTATTCTCTCTCTTTTTTATTTTTATTTGCTCCTCTCCACTTTACCTCTGCAACATTTGCATGAAGCCTGTTTGCACTGCATTCCTTGCCTGTAAAAGCAAACATGCTGGTGGCAGAATTTTAAACTAAGGGCAAAGAGAAATAGAGACTCACTTCTCACAGTCCTCAGCTTAAAAAGATAGCATTGCAACCAAAGTGATGTTTGCTTCTGGAAACTGACTAATGTGCTATTTCCAAGTCTGCTGTGGAGGCCAGCAATAAAATCTTTGTCATGCAGCCTCCCACCCAAAAGTGATCCACTTCATAGCAGAGGGAGGGACTTAAACCCTTTTTATCTGGATGGGAGAGCACATCCATTGCGGCAGCAGTCATTCTGGCTGGGTTTGCCTTGAACAACAATTACCATTTCTCTTTCAAAAGCTGATATGCCTTCACTTAGAAAGCTGCTCCTCTACTGGTGTTGGATCAGCAAGCTCTTCCTCTTGATAGCACCGTGTTCGGCCATTACTCACCCTTCTCCTGGAAAGGAAATCTTTTAGAGTAGTTTTCTTTCTTGTGTGATGAAACCAGATCACTAATTTTTACCTGTCTGTTTCTCTTTTCTCTCTCAGTGCCTGCAAGGACTATATTTCCTTCACTCAAATGGGGTGATCCACAGAGACATAAAAAGTTCAAACATTCTCATCAGAACAGACGGATCTGTCAAGTTGGGTGGGTATCCTTGGTCAGGTGAAGCATTCCAGGGATGTGGGGCATGGGGCTGCTTTTGAATGACTGCCAGTTCCCCAAAAGTAGTGCTTGTGGGAGTGCATGGACTCCTGCTGCAGCCTGAGAGCACAGGTGCACTTTGCAAGGTGTCAAGAGTGATGTTGGCTTGTGTATGCCCCTTCCAGAGGGAGGGAGTTACAATCTAAAACTTCTGGTGAATAAAAGACACTGCTGGGGGCAGTTTAAGAAATGTGGCCGTTTTTGAAGTGGCCAATTCCATAGTTCCTTGGCTACAACCCTGAGGAAACAGAACATGGTGTGCTTTCCAGATAGATTCAACATGGCATTCTCACACTTAGAGTGGGGAAGTCTTTTGTTTGTTTTCCTAATTTGAGCGGGCTTTCACAGTATTTGTTTTTCTCCTCAGCTGATTTTGGCCTCTCTGCTCAGCTCAGCCTTGATCAGAGTTATCGAAACTCAGTGATTGGGACTTCTTGGTGGATGGCACCAGAAGTTGTGATAAGCAAACCATACGGTCCCAAAGTGGATATATGGTCATTTGGCATTGTGGGACTGGAAATGGTGGAAGGAGAAGTTCCTTACCAGAATGAAACATCTGTTCTGGTAAGGTGCAAATACTTAATGATACTAATGTCTTTCTTATCTGTCCCATGTTCTGTCTGCCATAAGACAAAGTCTCATTCCCACCACCTTGAACTAGTTCCACCAAGACCCACTTCTAAAAATGTCCTTGGAGCACATCAGCAGCTGCTGTAGTTTTGGTTATGTCAATGGGGGAACCTCAGAAGAGAAGTGGCCTGTAGCCATTTTGGCCTTCAGTGATGCTTGACATTTCTCATGTGCTTTTTGAACTCACTTTGAGCTCTGCCTCCTAATGATAAGAATTTTTCAGTGAAGAGTTCAGCAGTGTCATCATTATCCTCTGAAATGCAGGTTGAACCTTCCCAGTTTCAGTTTTAAAAGAAAAAGAAACAACCAGCAAAGCAAACAACCAAGCAGTTCTGCTTGCTTTTTCCTTTATTAACCACAGCACATCAATTTTCCTCAAAACTGTAGCATCTTTTCCAAATCCTATGGATCTGTAAAATTTCACACTTCTAAACCATGTGTATATTGTTGTGTCATGTGTCTGGTTGGCCTGGATAAATTTAGGATCTCATTTTCACAGACTGCAGCTGGAATTGTATGCCTTGGCTGTTTCTTGGTATGTTATACAAATTGATGAGCTTATTGCCCCTTTGCAGCTTCTGCAAATACTGATTTCAAGCCTTACCACAGGCAAAGACTCCCCATTCTTAGGCAACACTTTGCCTTGGGTCTTAAGTTGTTCCAGCTCTTCTGTCTATGAAGATGACCCTGAAAACATGACACAAGCGTATCAGAACTAGTCTTATCTTTCCAGAAAAGAAGAAAAGAAACCCAAACCCAGTGAGGTTTCTAAAATAGTGGTTTTGAAAGATGAACTGCATTCCCTTTCTTCTCACTGGAAAGCTTGCCTAAAACTGGAAGATGATGGAGTAAAGGCCATATAGTCTGTTCTGCTTCTTGTCTAGTTTTGCTGAAACACTTGGTGACCATATTTCTTTCATAGTCCAAGCCTGCCAAAACCTCCTGTTTGTTGCCGGTCAGTTTCTGGGATGGGCACGTCATTAATTGAGTATCCAAATGAGCAGAGGGTTACCATAGGAATGGAATTACTCCTTTTTCTGATTAGACTGTGGAAAGTTTTTCTATTACTTCATAAGTGAAGCTGATCTGGAATTTGGAGACTGCTGAGAGAGACAGTTGCAGGTGGCTCCTATCTGCCCAAATGGGCATTTTCATCACAATACCTTTGTGCAGGCAGCGTAACGTTTCTGTGTTGAACATCAGGTTCCAAACATTTGTTTCTTTACGCAAGGAATCACTGATGTATTTCCTTGTTTTTCCTCCAGTTACTTTTTTTTATCAAGAACAGAACAAAAAAAATGATGATTTTTGTTTTATGGTAGCTTAAGGGACCAGGGAGCAGTGCAGAGATGTGGAGCATAAACAACGGCGTCTGGGAGAGCAGATGGGGATATGAAAGAAACAGGCAGAATCGCGTGTTTCCTTTTTCTCTAGGCTCAGTACTTGATAGCCACCGGAGGGGCACCCAAGCTGAAGAACCCCAAGCAAGTTTCCGCTTGGCTGCGTGACTTTCTGACCTGCTGCTTGGAGACAGACCAGGACAGGCGCTGGTCTGCCGAGGAACTCCTGCAGGTAAAGTGCAGAGCGACTGCAGGTGGAATGGCTGCCCGAGGGATGCATCTCTCATTAATTAAACTCCAAAGTATCATGGGCCCCTCATATTGATCTCCCATCTTAGTGTTTTTCAAATGAGAACTGTGAGGAATCCTAGACTGGTTTGGGTTGAAAGGGACCTGTAAAGGCCATATAGTCCAAGTGCCCTGCAATGAGCAGGGATGTCCTCAAGTAGATCAGGTTGCTCAGAGCCCTGTCTTACCTGACCTTGAACATTTCCAGGGATGGGGCACCTACCAGCTCTCTGGGCAACCTGTGCTGGTGTTTCACCACACTTGTAGTAAACCATTTCTTCCTTAGACCTAATCTGAATTGACACTCTTTTAATTCAAAAATATTACTCCATGTCCTATTGCAACTGTCCTGCTAAAAAATGTGTCCCCAACTTCCTTATAAGCCTCCTTGAACTATTGAAAGGGGGCAATAAGGTCTCCCCAGGACCTTCTCTTCTCCAGGCTGAACAAGACCAATTCTCCCAGCCTTTCATCAGAGGAGAGATTTTCTACCCTCTGATCATTTCTGTGGCCGTGTTTTGTACTTTGGGAGTACATTGAGTTTTACCTGGTGGCAAAAGGGCTGAAGTAGAATGGTGCTGTGTACAGAGGCTTGAAATAGTGGTGGAGGAACCCAATGAAACCAGTCCCAGTCAAGTGGGATTTGTTGATTTGGCTGTGGGAAGGAACAGGCTGTGGAAAGCTCACTGAGAGCCTCAGAGGGGCCCTGGTTTGTCCTTCCTGGCACATTCTCAGACGTTTCTGCCACCCAAACAGAGACAGCTGAGCAGGACTTGTCCTATCCCCAGTTGCTGCCTGGCACAGTCAAGCAGATGAGAACTGCTACAGGGTTACTGCCAGGTTTTGTGGCAGATCAGGAGCTGCAGGACATGACAATGGGCTGTTCCTGCTGGGAAGGAACGTGCCAGGCAGCACAGGAGGGGCAGGGGATGGAAAGGTAGACACTGCTCTCTCTCTGAAAATTAGCACAGCTCATGTCTTTAAAAAAGAGGAACCTCTATGAGCCTTTGCAGTTTCCTGAAAGGACAAACCCTTGGGACAGAAAGCAGCATTCCTAGAGTCTCAGCAGGGCAAAAATCCCAGCAAGCTGAAGACAGCTGGATAAATTGATGAGTGGGCCTGTGATGGCAGGTCCTACCTCACCATGAAGATGGAGGTGCAAATAGGCCCCTCAGTTGTATTTCTGCATCTTTCTGGGAACCAGAGGAGTCCTGCTTGAGTCTGTGAGTTTCGAAAGTCATGGTTCACTGCTTTTTTGGTCTTTTTTTTTCCTTTGGGCAGCATCCATTTGTAGAATCAGCCAAGCCTGCCTCCAGCCTCGTGCCGCTTATCACTGCAGTGAAGAAGTGGAAGGAAGAGACAAGACTCCAACAACCAGTCGAGGACCATTTTCTTCAGTGGCAGCTCTAGGCAGGACTCAGAATAAAAACTCCACGAAATCTCAACTCATTTGGAAGATTCTCTTTGTTTTCATCTTGTGAATAATGTGAATTCACATTACTTGTGAATTGTCAGTTTTTTCTTATAGGTGGAAAGTCACATTTATTGGTTCTTTCATGTGGTATGGAACTGGAAAGGATCTTCTTCCTTCATCAGCTCCACATTGCACTGGCTTTGGAATACTGCTTTTAAAAATCTGCCTGTGTCATGGTTTGAGATAGCCCCAAAAATCTAATTCCCTAGTCCTAGCCCCCTCCCACATCCCATCCTAATGTGAGATGGGTTTTTCCAGACAAAACACACCAGACTCCAAATGGGGGAAAGGGAATATATTACAATGACTGTACAAATAAATATTATAATACATTATACACACGATCACACCTATCTCTACCATGACATAAGTATTTACAATGGATCAGATCTCTTCTCCCCTCCAAATAAAAGTCCAGGAGGGAAAGAAGGACAGATCCCTTCCAGTCTCAAAGCAGGAGTATCTTCTAAGGCAGCAGTCTGTCTTCTTCACATGCATGCAGCAGCTGTGGCTGGATTTTCTGCCAGCACTCACAAAGGAGGTATCCAAGCTCCCTCGGCCCCTTGACGCAGGCAAAGGGATCTTCCTCCGTGGACTACGTCACCCCAGACGAAGGTCGTTCCACCACGGTCATATCACGAGACACAGGGGGTCTTTGTGACGGTCTGGTATCTCCAGGAGATTCAAGCTCCTTGCAGGGCCTCTGTGCCCTGTCTCAGGCTGTGAGCTTCCCTGTAGCTTGCAGCAAGGGAGGGCCCCCAAGGCCAACCTCCCACACTGTCCTGGCTCAGCTCTCAGGACGACTGAGCTTCTCAGCTCCTCTCTCTCTCCGGTGCTGCATGTCCAAAACTCTTCTCCCTAATAGGAGTCCATCTCCCTCTTTTCCAAGAGGGGTCTCAAAGGAGTTTGGGGGAGGTCTGGTACAGCTCTTACCCCCAAGAACTCTGTAGCTCTGCTGCCGGCTCGCGCTCTCTCTCTCTCTCTCTCTCTCTCTCTCTCTCTCTCTCCCCCTAGGAGTTCCCTCCTGCTTGGCCGTAATGCCTTTGCCGCATCTTATCTTTTCTGGCTCTCTGCCACCGCTCCGGTCAGTGCAGTTCTGCCGCTGTTGCTCACAATGAATAAACATCTCCAGGTTCAGTTACAGACACTTAGTCCAGCTTAAAACTGTTCCACGTCTCCGTAGCCCCCAACTGGGGCTGGGGGGCCCCAGAGACCCCAAGGGGCTCAGAGCCCCTTCCTCGTGGCTCTACAACATGGCCACCTCTCCAACAACAACCAAACTACAACTCTTCTCTTCTGGTCAGCTTGTGGAATGTTTACATTTTGCAGGAGTGCCCATTGGACAAAACTTCAAAACTTCCAGGGGTTTCCACCCCTTGGCGTTTTACCATTTTTCTTAGCCTCTGGGGGAAAACAAGATTCAAACCACTACAGCCTGCTGTTCTGTTCCCCTGTCCCTGAGGGTAGTTTTCCAGGGGGTCCTGGGGAAGGGGAGGGGTCCAGAGTAAATCCTTGAAGAGCTGAAATTTTGCTTTCCTAAAGTTCAGGGTCATGAATTTACTCTTCACCTGACCCATATCCCTCAGGACTGTGAACTGCTCCAGTGCGGGATCACTGCAGCTCAGGCTGCCTCCAGCCTTGACTAGCTCACTGTGTTGGTGACCAACAGATCCAGTATTGCATCTCCTCTGGCTGGGTTATTACCTGGCCTGAGAAGTTATCCCCCATGCATTCCAGGAGTCTCCTGGATTGCCTACAGTTTGCTGTGCTACTTTCCCAGCAGATACTGGGGTGGTTGAAGCCCCCCATCAAGCCTGCAAGCACAATGCCTCCTGCAGCTGGAGCAGGAAGGTGTCATCAGAAGGTTCCCCTTGGTTAGGTAGCCTGGAATACACACTGACCATGAGGTTCCCTTTGTTGCCTCAGTCTCTGATTCTTACCCACAGGCTTTGACCTCCTTGTGGCTTTTCTTCAGAGACAGCTCTTCATGCTGTATCCAACTCTTAACATCTTTGCTTTGTTTATGACTATATGTGAGGTGACCAACCTCATCGAGCAATGGACCAATGTTATCTCTGATCCTCCTTCTGCTGCCTTTTGCCATGGGTGTATTTAAAAAAGCTCTTTTTATTGTCCCCTGCAAGTACTGCCCAGCTTCAGCTCCAATGGAGCTTTGGCCCCACAAATTTTCTCCCTAAAGTGGAAAACACAGTCTCTGTAGTCTTCCTATGTTGCCTCGCCTTGCTTCCAACGTCCATATACATTCCATTTCCATCCAAGCTAAGTAAGTCCAGCCAGCCTTCCATTTGACATCTGGCACACTGGAATTGCCAGCTCCTGTGCTCTTAAGAAATGGCTCTTAAGTTCATAGCTGAAGCAGAGAAAAACTAAGTTCGTCTAGAAAAATACTACAGCTACCATCTAGGGAAACAGGAACAGCAAGGAGCAAAAGTCCTTACAGAGAAGCCTGCTGTCTACATTTCAACTGAGCAAGGAGTTTCATTTTCCATGTGCTGAGAGACCAAGAGCTAAGAAGCAACCTTAAACTATTTTTAAACACAGTATTTCAGTAAGAGGCACTTCACAAACATTCTCTAGAAAGCTCCTGACAAGCAATGCAGAAAAACAGCTCACTTAGAGCCTGGGAAGTGAGAAGCAAGTTAAACACTTTAGCAAGTTATAAAAGATCATGGAGAGAAGCCACCCCAGGGCTGGGAGCTGGATCCTAAGCCCTGTCCTGAGCTGATCTTTTTGCTTAGAAAATCCATTTTCATATCCATCATTTCTTGCAGGTAAATAGTGTTCCACAGGAGTAATGCCTACATAAGAAAATCATTATTTAAAGCCTTTAATAGCTAACATATCCTGGTTGCCTGGTCTGATAGTCTGCTTTCCACTGCAGATAAAAAAAAGGTATGTTGGATATAGAACAGCAGGCTACTATAGGAATTACTTATCATAATTCCCTGCTTTTCGTAGGGATAGGCCACTTCATTTGCAACTGCCAATAGCACTAGGATTTGGTTTAGATCAGTCTTCAGTGGACAAGAGCTCATGTGCTAGCCAACCACCACCTACCTTCACTCTGAAGCATCTTCAGAGCCCTGTTTTTCCTGACACCAGTGCTTATATTCCTTCAAGGTGAATGCTTCTCTCTGTATCACTCCTACTCATCTGGTGTCTCACCAGTGATACTACAAATAATTCAAACACTTTAGACGTGTGCAGAGTTCAAGAAACTTCTCACCTTAGAAAAAAGTTGTATTGGTGTTCACAGGCACATAACAGAGCTTACTTTGCCCTTCCATTCTTCTACCTTACACAGACTGGTGTGACCTTTTAGCCCATGGATACTTCCTGTAACTCTTGGGTCACATTTACTGGACAGCACCTGTTGGTTTGATTCATTATTGTGTGGAGCAATATTGATTAAAACAAACCTCAGGAGATAGGAGCTTCACCACTTACTGGTACTGTGCCTGAGAAGTTAAAAGCTCCCTTTTCCAGCTACATTTCCTTTTCTAAGGGTGTTTTAAAACAGGGTGCCTGTGATCTCTGACTTCAACCAAAACTGCCCTGACTTTGAAATGAGAACTGGCACATTCCCACCAAGTTTCAAGTCTGACAAAAGCATGCTTTCTGCAGTTTTTGAACTTGGGTACTGGGAAGCCACACAGCAGACTCTCTAAACACCTTGGTAAAGACACCATAGTGTGGCTTTTAATCACTTTCTGACCCCATCTAGCTTCACTGCTCTAAAGAAGAGTGAGAGCAGAACCAAGTAGCCTTACCTAAGCCTCGGACTAAAGAGCAATATGAATGTGGCTACTGCAGCCCTCTGATGAGCAATCTGGGCCACAGTCCTTCACAACAAATTTTCTCAGTGCCTCTGAAAACTCAGTGAAATTCACACGTGAAACCTACACATGACCAGTTCCAGCCAACCTGGGTAGGCAGCCAGAAAAATAAGCTAGGACAAAACAAAGGGCCTCTTGGAAACTTCACAGCCTGTTCGTAAGGTGTCCTGTGGCCCTTCTTCTCTGTCTCTCCTAGACTGGTACTTCTGATCCAATCCCTGCACTAGAATAAAAAGTACATCCCTCTTCCATATAAAAGCTGTGGATAGAGCACCATAATTCTCTTACAGCAATGACACCTCATTTTGTATGGATTTAGGGTGTGTTAGAACTCAGCAGTGGCCAAGCCACTGAAACGCTGCCCTTGCTGAGTCACAAGACAGATTCCTTCATTACTAACTGCACTTAAACTAATACAGAAACCACGAGTAGCAAAAGAGTTCCTTAGTCTGAAAGGAGACATGAAAACAATCAAAAAGGGAAGGTTTGTGCCCTTATTTTGCTTTCAAGATTTATCAAAATGTGTTCCAAGAGCAGAAGATATTAAATCTCTTTTTCATGTGTCACACAATCTCAGTTTCTGCCCAGTGTCCAGAACATCCTCATACAAGAGCAATTTTGGCAATTGTGTTTTGTTCCCTATTCCTTGATCTTATTTGATTCTGCCAGGCTTCATCAGACATTCCCTATGGATAAAGCAAAGCAGTGCATTATTTAAGAGGCTTGGGCTACAACCTTTGCTCATACCCCAACAGTACCAAATGCAGCGTGACCACTCGCAACAGCAAACTTACAAGACCAGGCTGTGAATCTCAAAGCTGTGCACTATTCAACACACGGCAAAAAGTAATAATTTCACACTCACCTGGTATTGTATCAGCTTTAAAACTCTTTCTGGGCTAGACACAAATAAAATACAGCCTCTTTTTCAAATCGCCCGATTCAATTACCTGCCATGCTTTTTAGTATTTTCAGGAATCTTTTTATTTTCTAATGTGATACAAGGTATTCCCTCCATAACACTGTTTATGTTCCCTTACTCCTTACTCCAGTTTCCATGGACAATGGTCTACCTTGCAAGAACTTCATTTACTCTAGAGTAAATC